CGCGGTTCATTCCAACTGCCAGCGCTATGCACACATCTTACCACTGCCTCGTTCTCAAGAGGTCCAAAGCAACGACACCACAAATAGGCTAACTCGGTCCGTTATGCTCTCACCTGCTCACACCATGCAGCACCAGCAGCCTTCCTGATATTCCCCCTGCTGCTCTGCAGCACCTTGCAGTCCTGCCAACTCGGTTGTTAGGTTCTTGGTTGGCAACGTTCAGTTATTGCCAACCCAAAATGCAGTTTTGCTCCTGTGCAAATCTGCTGGAGCGTTTCCAGTGTTTCCAGTATGGTGAAACTCCCTTTTCACCATATGGATGAGCATGTGTCTATGAGCTGATGGGGAACTGCCAGTGCCTGCAACAGCTCCCTACAGGACATATTGTCATCATGCCTACAAATTTTCCAGATCACCTTTCCACAGCCCTATTCCTTGCTTAAGGTAGCCAGCCTGAATCTCCTCAGATTATAAATAAATTTGGCTTTAGAGACAGCCTAAATCTATCTCCTCCCCACTCTGTTACTCTACGTCAGCATAACTGACTACAGACTATGCCAGTATTGCAAAAGGATTTCAACGGACTGTACTGAATCCAGTTCTTTCCTCCAAACTCTGCACAGAAAATCTCAGGGCCTTTTGCAGCAGCACTGTGTTTGGTTGTTGAGGTTTTAGTTTCTTCGCTTTCAGAGGTTCTGCAGGGGGATACCGCAAATATCAAACATCATCTACTTACAAGTGCTTTTCATTCATTCACTCTGTTCCTTGAAAACAGATGTTTTGTCTAATGCCAGATAGAAGTCATGAAACATAGAAGTCATGAAACATAACGTCCCTTTATTTACCAAGATCAAGAGACAGCATTCTCCCCCTCACTGGAGATCCTTTGATGTAATATATTGTAACTGAAAGCTGCAGAGCTGGATTCACACCTACGATGAACAATACTGCAGCAGAGAACACCACAGCTAAAAGATGCCACTGTAATCACAGAGATGCCACTGTCAGGAAGCTACTTTGTTTTCCCCACTGTACATATACATCTTGCTTGTCTTCTGCTCCATATGGTTCTGCGCATCAGAAGTTACTGCATATTTTAACATTTTACTATTCTGGGCCATACCTGCACCTAAAGCAGACTCACAAGTGTCCTAACATAAAGCCCACAGTATTAAGCTTGAGGCAGCCAGTCTCAGACTACCAAGAGTTTCATTGTATCTTACATATGCAAAAGTGTACACTTCTGGGATATGTAAGGCATTTTTTATTTTTAGAACATATCTTTTAATGCCAAAAGGTAACAGCCACTATTAAATTTTCACTTAAATGCAATCCAAATACCACTGCAGACACAGCATACAAAGATCACCTACAGACAGTTAGGTATACAGGTCGTCAGATGTGCCAGGCAAAGTTTACCACTTTTCTCTTTCTGCTTTTTAACTTTTTACATCTGGACTTACAGAGCTTTCAGCTTTCAACATTTACTCACTTTGGCAGGAATCATGCCATTAAACAAAGGCAAATGTACACATATACTGGAACAAACTCACTGGAACCTAATCATTTTCCCATTTCATAAATAGAAAAATGTTCATTCCCAAGTAGACTGAAACAACTTTGTCCAAAGTATTTCCAATACCATGTGACTCAGCCTACCTTTCTTTTTAAAATAGTTACAGATGTTCTTTGATAAAAGGCACATTTGGCAGCTACTAAAATTATCATGCATCTGCATCTGGCACATTTTTAAATTTTACTTTTTCCCATTCAACCTTCCAACCACTGGAACATGATCTCACAGTTGCTTGCTAGGGGGTCTAAAAAGTGACTTGCCCATTACTTTGCTTGCCTTATAATGCTGCAGCAGCTAACCACTAGATGCATTATTTTTCATTAAAGGCAAAAGGGCAATTTGCTCACAGTTGACAGAAAAATGCACTTAAAGGTTTTTTTTTATGGAAAATAAGGCATGAAATTTTACAAACTACGTTAAAAGTGCATTCAGCTTTACAGCTATATTGGGCCACACTTTTCTTTTTCTAACAAAAAAGACCAAAAATTACTGCAGCCCATGTACGAGCTAGGTTTTGAAATGACAATTCTAAAATTAAAAAGGGTATTTAGGGGCAGGGGGGAATCCATAAGAAGCTGCCAACTTTTTAATGTCACTTTAAAGCCAAAAAAATAAAAAAGAAGCCTTTTCGAACAAGGCTCTCCTTGCTGACTGAAAATGGTATTAGCAGCATTTGGGAGAAAGGCAAGGAGGGACTTTAATACATCACAGCCAAATGCACTGCTCACAGCAAGCAGAGCATCAGGAAACATTTTAACATTTTTAATTTTAAACTTTGCGCCTTTTTTAATGCTTTTAAGACGTATATTCATAAAGGACTGGTTCTTTCTAGTTGAGCTTAAATTGCAGCACTGCTAGAAGTAACAGTAGTAGAGGCTGCAACTGTAAATTGCTACACAGGACTGAGACAAGAGCCGTAACAGAGGCAAGAGCTGACACTCACTGTAATGCACAGCCTGCTGTGATGCAAATTTGTCCAAGCACCTCTTCAGGTTTGGAAGAAAATTTTGCTGCATGGAGCAAAGTAAAACCCTCTCCCAGAAGGGCAGTAACCTACCAAGTGCGATACAGCTGCTATTGCAAGAGTTTGAGGCCACTGAACACAGAAAGAATGTCTAATTTAACGTACGCACAAAGATAACCAAACATCTGGAAATGCTAATCTAAATCCTGAAAGATCTCAAATCCAGTGCACTAGCATAAATATACTGTCCAATTTAACAGAGGCACATTCAGAAGGGGATTAGCTCATGCCAGAGGTGGCTTCTTGAAGATGGAGCTCTCAAAGGCATCTCTGGAATGGACCTCAAAGTAAGAGAATGGTCTCCCTAGGCAAACAGCAACAGGGAAGCTTTGCCTGGTCTGCTGAATGCCATAGCAGCAACGTGTAACTTGGATCACCTGGCAGTGGGTCAGTGAAGTGGTCAGCCCGCAGCCGAACTACAGCACCCATGCACGGTGCTAGCGGCTCCCAAGGGACTCCTCTAAGCTGGCGTGCAACTACAACATCCTTTGGGGAAGAAAACAAACTCACCCAGATGCTGCCACGCTGCCTCACTACACTCTGAAGCAGGAACCTTGACGTGACGTAGCAGAAGTTGTGAGAAGTATCGCATCTGCAAAGCCCTGCTGGCCACCCTGCCCATGAAGGCACTTCATTTCCCACCCTTGCCCCATACCCAAAGTACTTTGCAGTCCTCTGGGCTCCCTTGAGGGCACTCTAGACTAACAGCAACTCACCCAGCTGTCGGTTTCCACTTAAGTGTTTCATTTCTCCAGGCCACATGAGAACATCCAGGCTTGTTCGCCAGGGGGTTAAGAGAGAATCATAAAAGTGATTCATTTTCCACATTAATTCTCCTTGCAAACATGTTGTTTCTAATGTAAACACAGCCCAAAGAGAAAGTCACTGAAGAGTCAATAACGCATAATGTAAAATAAAGGTTGTAAGACAAGCCAGTGTCTTTGCAATTGTGCTCCAAACTCCTACCCTAAATGCAACATGTTCGATTCTCATCCTGTCTTTCCTGCTCTGCAGCTGAGTCAGGCCCGTGCCTCATGCACTGTATGTGACTGAACTCACTCGGCTGGGATTTAAGGGAATTTTGCTAGGTTCTTGCACAGTCGCCATCACCATTTCTCTGGTATTCCACTGATAAGCTAATATAATAATTACTATGATGCCATCATAGGATTAACGTTGAAAGCACTGCTGACCTGAACTATGTTTACTTTAGCTGACGGTTTTTGCAAAGCTCCCATGATGAACGTTCTTGTCTGAGATTTAGAGTTTGTTGGGTTTTTTCTTCCTTTGCCCAGAAAATATTTCAAGTCAAGGTGTTAAACATACCGAAGGCAGCATCCAGCTGACAAATTCCCACCATTTGACTAGGCTGCTTATGAAATCTGAACACTTGCTGAAATGTAAAGACCACACTAGTAGAGCACAGTGCATCACTCCACAGCATTGCAGAAGGTACTGGAAAAGGCCATTTCCATCACCATTCTACCAAACCATCTCTAATAGCACAGCTTTCCATGATGCTGAAATGTATCCTTCTTCCAAAGAGAAAATGTGATAAGAGTTGTACATTGACTCATGAGCCTTAATAACCAAAGATGAGATATTTCACACTTTACAAACACACTGTAGTGGAGATTATTGAGCTTCTTTTCTTCAGTATCCGGCATGCATTATTTGCAACAGTATTGGCTACAGTAGGACACAGGTTTATGGATAATCCATGTCATGGAACTTATGTCAGCACACATTCTGCCACGTGTACCTCAGACAGAGAAAGGCTAATGTAAAGATTAACGTAAGTTTGAATTTCTCTAATAAACGGCATACATGAGGTATGAGAATTTTTCTAACTTAATCATTCGCTTTGGGAGTAACCCAGTTTCTCAATTACTACTAAATTATTACTTTGTTACACATGCCAAAACTGACTTTGTTTTAGACTCCTGTTACTAAAATGCATATGCTGAACCAGGAACAATACGTACCACAACAGGTGCTTTTATCCCCTTCAGTGTTTAACTAAAAACTGAACTGTACATTTATCCATGTAATAATTTAACATATGTCAGCCAAACATATCTGTATCTTTATTTCAATTAAATTAAAAACAATCTGCAAGTATATTTAATGCAACATTCACTATATACACATGATTTCTGCAAGGCAATTCTATGTATGCTGATTAACCTACTGTTAGTAAAATATGACAATAGCTATGGAAATTGGACAGTGATGCTCCTTTTCACGAGTGCCTGTTTTCATGGCATGACTTGAAGAATAGCTACTAGCCATGAAATAGATTATCAGTAAACCTTAAAAAGCATGTGACATAACCTAGCAGAGATTAACAGTCATCTAAATGTAGTAGTATATTTACCTCAGGTGATAGTGCTGCTTTTTTTTTTTTCTCCATTTTTGCGGTCATCTTAATGATGAAGAATTTCATCTGCTCTATCTAAAGAAAGCAATAATTAGACATTACGCTTCCCAGCAAAAATTTATTTTGAACTGGCACCATAATATTTCAGAAAAAAAAAATAAAATAAAGTACCTCTTTGGTGAAGCCTAGGTACCCCCTACTACTCATTGTAACAACTTGTAAACAGGACTGCAATACAGTGCTACGCTTCAGCTCTAACTCGATTAGGTACCACAGATCTTCCTCACAGTCCTTCTCACAAATTTAGGTATTTAAGTATTTTAAAGCAAGGAGTAAAGCAAATGAAAATTAAGAAGGATATAAAGTTCCCTGTTTGAGATTTTAAAAAAGTGCATAATGTTTTCATTCCAAAAACTGTGCCACTGTACGGAACTGACGGATACCAGACTGTTTTCCTTCCTGTACGGGATTTTAGAGCTCATTAGGCAAACACAGTCTCTGCACATTGGCCAAAGAAGTCCCTCAAGTCTGTTTTCTGGTACAATCAGTTGTCTTACTACTTTAGAACAATGTCCTGCATATGAAAAGAGGAACAGCAAGTTAACCAGTTTTTCCGCTATAACGCCTGCTTTTGCAACTCCATTTCTGTACACTGCATTTCCAAACTTTTGGAAAGTTTTTAGTGTTTGGCATACACATCCCAGCTCCTTGGCACCACCAGGCTCAGTGCATCCATTGCCAGCAACAGAAGTAGCACCAGGAAAATGTGACTCCCAGCGCAAGGGACAGTTCAGGAGGAGTGGGCATTCTCCAGCAAGGGTGGTCCGTCTCGATGCATCGATGGGTGTGTGTGCTCCCTTTTGTAAGTTTTTGGAGGAAGCTTGGGGATATGTTGAGAAGTGCTTTGTCGTGGAGGAACGGGTGGTCCAGCAACAGAATGGACGTCCACATCTGGTGGTATCAAAGGTGGTGATGGAAGATGCCTCCGTGCTACATGCGGAGAAGGTGTCTGAGGGGGAGGGGGCGTAAACGGAGAGGGGCTATTTGGGAAAAAGGTGTTACCAAGTTCACTCTTTCTCCCCAGCGGTGGAGGTTGGAGGTGTAGTGGTGAGCTAGAGAAAACATCTGGAGTTCGCACAGGTTCTCGTGGTGGTAACACAGGAGGGCTTTCGGGGGGGTCAGAGATGCAGGTCCGGTCAGGCACTGAGTACCTTGGTGAATACACTTTAGAGGTTGGTTGTCTAGGAGGGATTGCTGGTGGGCTGTCCAGGTGTGCAGAAGTGATCTGAGGTACACAAACATTTCAGTCAATCAACTCTAAAAGTGGCAGCAAAGAGCAGGACCGGGCTGTGAAATGGGAGCACGGGCCCTGCCACACAAATTGTGCTACCCACTTCCAGCGAAGGCACAGCAAGCAAGTGCAGAACAGCGTGGGAAGGAGGTGAAAGAGTGGTGGGCTCTGACAACGACACGTTCTCCGAGTGATGCAGGCAGAAAAGAGAGAATGGACATGCAGGGGTGGAGGGAGAATATATCAAAATGTGAGTTAATGCGAGCCAGAAATGCAGGGAATGGAGATGCGGGGAGAGGGAAAAAGGCAGGGCAAAAGTTCTCAGAGCAGCAGCTTCTATGTTGGTTCCAGATCTGCCTGCTGATACGAATTTGGGTATCCTCCACTGCCTCTACATACAAAGTACTCAGGATGGTTAAAACTACCAGTTATGTCCTCAAGAGAATGAGGAGAAAGAGAGGGGCAGGTGATACCGAACAAGGTGAAAAAAACAGCATTCAAGAAATGGAGTTAAGGAAGGTGCTCAGGATGACTTGCAGGAATTGTTCGCAGGCTGTGGCTACAATGACAGTGTCAATGATTTCCACCATCCTATCATGTTTATTACGTTTTTGATTGCATTTTGGTAAGAAAATAAAGAGACGAGTTAAACTCTGCAAGTTGACAGCAGCCTACAGTCCAGACAGGACTGCCACTGAAGAGACATATAAAAGTCCTCCTCAAAGACATGCATGCTCCAAAGTAATTGTAAGTGGGATTTTCAAATTCCCCCCACCTTTCTGAAGGTATGAACCAACTCCTACTGAAATCAAGAGACACCTTATACTGCAACAAAGGCTGGAAGAGTTCCCAAATGCCAGACAAATACCACAGGAAAAGGCAGTTATGGCTCAAGCAGGAGGACAGACAGGACGGATGACCAAGAAAAGCACTGAACACCACAGCATTAAGGTTAAATAGTCTAGTGGACCTTTTCAGGGGACTGAAGCATGTACATCAGCTGTCATTGGTATTACTCTTCAGTTCTCTATCCCTGCTTATAGACTGCCAGATGAGAATTTGGGAGGGTTATCCCACATGGAAACATCTACCTGGAACCTCAAGTTCTCCCAGGCATTGCCAGCCCCTGAGCACAGCAGATCAGCAGACAAGAGTGTGAGACACATTTCCAACCCTAATTCTAGGTCACAGATTTTCATTGGTGTGAGGACTAGGACATAATGAGGCAAAGTCGTGCAGGTCTGACATACATGCTTACTCTTTCACATGCAGTTCTTTCCAACTACAGACAATATCTCCCTGAGTTTTTTTTTTCTACCTTACCCTGCCCTCTGCTCCCAAACCCTTCTCCCTCTTTTTTTTTTCCCTCTCTTTACTCCTTCCTTACTTTTGATGGGGAGGATTCAGCTGGAGCAGACTCTGGTCTTCTTCGTGGAGGAACGGGAGGGGGAACAGGAGCTTCATCCGAACTTTTGGCAAAGTTTATGGACGAGACGGAAGCAGATCCTGGCGAACATTAAAAAAACAGAACTGTGATAATGATGAACTTTTGTTCAGTTCTGCCCACCTACCCCTACTGTGGCTAATAAAGCAATTGTGAAAGGCAATTTGCTTTTACAAATGAATTGTTCATAAAAATGTGTGAAAAATGAAGGTGTTAAAGAAAGATACAGCAAACAACGGTCTGCTTCCAGGTCCCAGACAAACTGGTCATCTGAGCTGCAATTGCTTCTACGGGTCATCAGTTTCTGCACTTTCTAGGGAATCTCTCAAGAGAAAAAAATGCAAGTTTTCTTGTATCGCAAAAGCACTGGGTCATCAGTTTCTGCACTTGCTAGAAACTGCAATCTCTCAAGAGAGAAAAAATGCAAGTTTTCTTGTATCGCAAAAGCACTAAAGCAGTATTCAGGACTTGCAGTCAATGGAACAATTCAAAAATGAGAAGTAGCTTCTACAGAGGTACTCAGGAGACCTGGCTTGAAAACTCAGCAGTGTCACTGGTCTGTTAAGCAACTTCTGCTTGAAAACAGCCACTTCTCCTTGTGATACCCATCTGAAAGCAGCACTAACCCTGTCCTTCCTTTTAAAGCTCTAGGACCTGAAGAGAAACTACATGTTACTGAAAGTGCATCATAAAAACATGTTTTTTCACATGTCGGTGAAGAGAGGAGGAAAAAACATGTGGTTGAGTCTTGATGGATTTAACACAGAGAAAAAATGATTTTAAGTTCTGCTGGAAGGTCTATGTGCACTGAAACCAATTAGGAAGAGAGAGGTCAGAGTAAGGCACCAGAATAATCTTCACTTGTTTTCTCGTTTTCTCATTTTTCACTACCAGATGATCATCACATAGTTTCACAAATATGGTAACAAATCACACAAGTGTTAGCTTGGGACACATATGGGCAATAAGCATATATATCAGCTTTCTGTCCCACAGATTCTCCGAAGATATGTAACACCCTTCATGTTAGATGTCTAGATATACTTTTTCCCTTAGCCACAAAAGTTTGTAATAAAAAAAGAAATGAAATGCGCTGTTTTTGCCATTAGTTTCACAAATATGGTAACAAATCACACAAGTGTTAGCTTGGGACACATATGGGCAATAAGCATATATATCAGCTTTCTGTCCCACAGATTCTCCGAAGATATGTAACACCCTTCATGTTAGATGTCTAGATATACTTTTTCCCTTAGCCACAAAAGTTTGTAATAAAAAAAGAAATGAAATGCGCTGTTTTTGCCATTTTTAACAAACGTGACTATTCCTTGGTCACTTTAGAAGAATAAATGTGTTTTACCATTTTTACATCGTAAAATCTACCACATACATTCTTGGCAGACTATCTGTTATCACCTACTTGCATGAAAAGGACTTGAAGGATCCGAATCGAACACGCTGCAGGCGTCTGTAGTACTTGAAGTAGCAGAAGCAGGCGGTGGGGTCAAGGGCGTTCGTGGAGAGTTTGGTGCAGATGCTGTAGCTTCAGTTTCACTCTCTGGGATGCGGCTGTAGCTAATTTTTCTTGGCTCCTGTTGCAGAGGTGTAGGGTGTCGCATGGTACCTGGCCTTGGATTAGAGGGACGAACACCTGGGGACTTGAGAGGATAGCTGTACTTTTTGGGCTGGGAGAGAGAGAAAAAGAAAAGACAATATAACAGTTTAAAAGGCCACAGGAAAACAAACCAACACAAAATCAGCTGTGTAGCTTTTTCCCTATGAAGCTTGAGGTCTATAGCAACTTCTGCTACCTACGAAAGGCATATTTAAGCACTTTCAGGAAAGAAAAAAAAAAGCTATGAATACTAACAAATCTTGGTGGAGGCTTGACATTTCGTGGCTCTATTTCTAGTGACTTATTGAACAAATAATCCGTAAATTCTGTCTCCATGCTGTTCCCCATTGGATTCAGGTTTTCAAAAAATCTCTGAAATACAAGAAGGCAGAAAATTTACATCAGCTAAGATTCTTCTAGAGTTTGTTTCTTTCGCACATATGATCTCAGCATTAAACCTAGACAACACCAGAGTCCAAAGTGATGACAGATACACAAGTTGTGGAACTCGTCTGTTGCTGGCCCTCTGCAGGACACTGCTCCTGCTATGCTCAGTCTGAGGAACCACTGGGCACGTATCCTAAATAACAGCCACTCAAACCAGGTTAGCTCAAAGGACCCTCAAAAGAAGCTGAAGAGAGTCTGTCTTTACAGTGACACTGAGGAAGGCTGCTCTCAAAAGCATTTTATCAAACCCTGAGGAGAATGAAAGACTTGAGAAAATCTTGCAGAATCTCTTAAAATCATCGGTGCAGAACTGTGGATCTTTCTGCTTATCCCTGTGTCAGCCATCAGTTTACATGCTCTGTCAGCTGACAGTCACCACAGAAGTAGCTCTGTATGTGGAGATCCAAGCAAAAAATGCCACTTACTCTGATGTCAAATTCTACTCTTAAACAATATGGCTGGTTCTGGTACTGTTGGATCTCTCCTGTTATTTCTGCTACCTTTCTTCTCTTGCTGAAGTTTATGAGATCTTTCCCATGTCGCTTTAGAAATTCAGGGTTGCCTTCTTCTGTTTTTAAAATGTTGGTTAAGTAAATTCCTAAAGAGCAGACAGAAAAGATGCTAAATACACAGCACAAAACAAGGAGAAAGTCATACGGTCGGAATACAAAGAATTCAACAAGAAATTCGTTTGTGAATTTTAATTACTTAGAAAAATGCTCCGGTAGGTTCAATAAGAAAAATCACAACTCCTTTTCAAATAATGGTGGTAATTATTTTAATAAAGTTTTTCCTGGAAGCTGTCTTTTGCATCAAAATTTCAAAGTCTATTCAACTTTTTATTCTATAAGAAACTCTCACCACATGTACTGAACCATAACTAGCATTTTGCAAGACTGGAATTCACTGAACTGTGGCACAGAGAGATCAGTTGCTTACTCTGATCTCTTCTGCCCCATTTCAGCTTTACTCCATTTGAGACCCCAGCTAAGCTCAAAGCAATTGTTTCTAATACTCAGCCTGATGCATCAAACTGATGCAGAGTAATATTTCATCTCCCTATCATTTAGATTTTATTCTTTTGTTCAACTTTCCACTTCTGACTTCATGATTATATCAAGCCATGTGAGGATTAGAGACAAAAGGGTTCTCCAAGTCCATGGATGATGTATCTGGAAGAGTCAAGGCCCACTATGTCTCTTCTAAGCGTAGCTGAGAGGAGAAACTAAAACCATTCAGGTGTGATCCTGCTAACTTCTGCTCATCCCTGAGGCAGGACAGAAGATAAGTTGATCTTATCTTTCTTTGCAGAACTCTGAGGTATGTCTTTCCCCAGTCTCTTAAAGGCCAAACAAGCCATCGACACCCTTTTCTTCTACTTTTGGCCTGAAGACTGTTCTGGACAAATGAAATGTATTGCCAGAACTGGAAGTGAACTGCAGCAAACATTTGAGTAGCTTTCTGAAGAGGAGAAATGCCATTTGCTTAGTATCACAATTTGCTAACGGCCAGAATTTCTAAACTTGGAAAAATGGTAAGTCTTTGATGATCCAGAGTGGGGTTCTTTCCCCAACTCTATAGATACATTTTTATTTCTTGGAATTCATACGGGGAGTAAAGAGAAAAAAAATCCTTCTTTCTGCATTAGTCAGTGGAAGTAATATTTTTAATGTGCCCACCTTTCAGTTAGAATATTATAGGTATACTTATTTTTGTGCAAGTGGCATGCACAAATAATAGTCAATTTAATACTGTAGAGACATTTCAGTTTCCCTTATAGAATTACCCTTCTTCTCTGTTTATGCAAGCCAAGGAAATTGCTGAAATTCAAAAACGATTGTCTTGTTAAAACAAATTTCTTACTATTCTTCATACTTTGGCTTAGTTCTTCAACTCATTCTCTTCAAAACGCTTGTGCATGATATAGCTCATTGAGAACCAAACCTACTTACCAAAAAAAGGCACACAAGGAGGATTAATGGACCTGAGTTTTGCCAAGTATTTCTTATAATGATCCTCACTCAGTTCATATGCTTCTTCTAAAATCTTCTTCTGTCGACTTGGAATTTGCTAAGAAGAGATTAAACAGGTTAGCTTGAAAGACAGGGACATGAAATGACCCATCAATGACACTTGGACTAACTGTCTGCAACTAATACTTAGGTCAGTGACCATGAGAACGACACCCCACTACCTCAGGACCTTGCAAACTTCTTGTGCATTTTTTAAGTGAAGACTGATTTCTTGCTTCTTCAATCAGGAAATTAACTCAGTATTACCACCTAGTTTATTTTTCCACTGGGGGTTTTGCTTTCCTTGTTTCAACTTTAGAGAAAATGCTTACTGAAAAGACAAGCTTTCAGAGCAGCTAAGGTGCAATGCATGACACTTGCATGTCAAAAATGGATAACATTTCACTGTACCTCAAATGTGTGATCCAACCTATACACTGCTGCAGAGTTCATTGCACTGACAATCTCAAGGACACCATTGAAGTTGTTTAGCTCTTGAAAAACTTGCAGGATCTCAATTATCCGGCTCACTACAATTACTCTTTCTTCCAGGTTTTCTGTTTCTACAATGCACCTAAATACATGAGAACATATTAATTTTTTACTGAACCATTCCCGAGTTTTGCAAAACCAAAAATTAATGTGTAACACAAACACACAAAGCTTAGTTGAGCACAGTTTAGAAAATGGAATGAAGACCTCTTCTAAGAGTAAAGAGACCACTACAGCAATATTCTGTACAAGGACCAGCTGTAGCATCAAAAGGAATTCTCCAAAATAAGAGTGTTTCACAGTACATTTCTAATATCCAGGAATGGAGTTAGTGTAGATTTAGGAAAGTCACTTACTTTTCAAACCACAAAGTGAGGTTAGTTGTATGCCTTATCATTTTGAGAAGGTTAGGAGAATTAATTTCTTTATCTTCTTTTGTCCACACACTTCCAACTAGTTCGGATGGCTGCACAGCTCTAGAAAAGTATATACATTCATTGTAGCATGTAAGTAGCAGCATGAAAAATGATATCATTTTTCCAAAAAGTATTAATTTCCAGAGAATTTGAAAATAATATTTGGAAATAAAAGGTACCACTGCTCTCCTATGATCTTAGGATCACCCCATGACTTCAGCGACTGGTATCCCTGTGCTGCTCTTTTATAGACTGTGGATATTGGTTAGTTTACATCATTCTTAGCTACCTCTGTTCATCTGAATGAAAAATAATGTCTAAATCTCATTCACCATAATAAAATGTGATCTTCCGATGCCTGAATAACCTCTCACAGACATCTGGTCAGCTCTGACACGGTCCATAATTTACTTCACAAACTAGGATATGAAGAAAATTGATTTAATTCATGTTTGTATTTCTCAAAGGATGATCTACCCTGAAAATATCAAGAGATACATGAAGCATAATGCAGTTAACAGCATGCATCAGTCACAGGTTCTGCATGTCAGCTTGGGGAGACTAGACAAATACTGGGTTGGAGGAACACTTTTTCAGATTTTTTTCTTTTTTTGCTGAAAAAATAACAATTAATATACATTGGTAAAGTCCCTTGACCTACCGTGGGGCTTCACAGCAGGGGCCCGCAGAAACAATTTCATGCTGGAGGATATTTTGGTTTGTGTCATGGGTTTTTCAATGGAGGAAAGTTACCTGTAAAAATCTGACTCAAGTAAAGTGAGCTGCCGAGCAATTTCTATTGGATGCAAAGTGAGCAAGTCAAAAGTCTCTGTGTGTCCTGGTTTGCTTATGTGCCACTCGATCGCCGGAGGAAGGCTTTCAAATGTAATGTTGTGACTTGGCCCAATGGCTTGTGCCTGCTTTTTCCGATGGATTATCTTTGTGATTGATTCAACCCACTTCTTCATGGCTTTCCCTAGCACACAAAGAGAAAAGTCACTGTTTAGTTAGTCTGAATACTGTTTTTCCCAAGCGACCAGTGTAATTCGGAGATTTTGGATTTAAACCCCAAAATGAATAGATTAAAACAACCATTCATTCTTTAGAAATAAGTGGTATTCCCACAGAACTCGTAAGGCCTTCAAACACATTAAAAGAATGCTCACAAAATAACCTTAATCTAATGAGCTTCACCTCCAGGATCTCTCTGCAGTCAATGCTAAGCATACCAGGTTCATCCAGGCACAAATCAAAACACCTATAAAAGGCTCGTGCTCTAAATCAGGAGCTTTTTTTTTTTCCTTTTTTTTTTTCTTCTTTTCTGACTTCATGGTGAGTTTATGGGAACTAACCTTCTTCTGGTCAAAGCGAGCTTTCAAGAACACCCAAATTTATGCCTTGGGAGAAGCTATGTTCTTATCTCAGAAGGGCAAAATACTGAGCAGGGAGAAGCTTCTCCCTCAGCTGAATTCAGGTTCAAAACTGAGCATGAAGGCCAGAGGCTGAACGCCTGTTTAGCTCTACAGCATAAGAATTTCTAGCCTAAGATGGTAATTCCATTGAAAATTTAGCAGAAATCCACATTAAACCAGCTGGTTTATTCTCCTCCTCTATTCACTAACCATTAACTACTGCTTTAACATTCAAACAGCTACTGTAGCTTTGCCAGTTTTTATTACAATCAAACAGGAAAGATGACTAAAATCATAAACGGAATATCTACAGGTCTGATATGCACTGTGAAAGATCTGGAGAACCCTTCCTCTACAGAAATAGTGATTTCACCATTCATCTTTTACAAAACTCACCCCTACCTATAGTGTAAAATGACAATCAAAACAGCTATTCTGCTTTGAGCCTCACTCAAATCTTATCCATTTGCATTTATTTCAACCCCTTTACCATAAAGCTAAGACATTCATCAGGCTATAACAAATATATTCTTTCTTTTGAACACAGGTCATGCTTTGGAGAATTAGCAGATTTCATTTTAATTCGTTTTTCTATGTTCTTTTTGAAGTGTTAAGTAAGTAGTGATCCTTACTTCTCCTTATCTGCTCATTGAAAGGTGAAATGATCCATGCCATACCTTTGAAAACGATGATTTATGATAAATACCAGTATGTAAGAAACCATGAGTACCTCTTACTGTTCCAATGAACTCCTCCAAACGTTGCAGAAGATCAGCATCTCTCTCAAAGTCATAGAAGTGGTGTTCTACCCAGTGCCGACAGACATTTAATACCCTGCAACAGCAAAGGGCAAGGAAGCACTTTGGCAATGTGGCCTCATGTTCAAGTCCAGCATTCCAAGGCTTTTAGTAGTGGAGGGCTCACAGGACTATGTAGGAATCAGCAGACCAAGTGCAATTACTCTATCCGCTGTGTTTCGCGAGCAATCAGCAATAATTGTTTTTCTACTTTAAATATAAGGAAGTCCGAGTAATGCTACCATTCAGAAAAAGAACATTTAACACAGTGTTCTGTATAGCTATTTAACATAGTGTTCTGTATAGCTCTCTATGGATAACTAATGCTTTACCAGCCTTGCAGAAACACAGATTCAAAAAAAAAAAAAAACAAAGAAAAAGGTGAGGGCAAGAGACTGAGGACACACCAACAATCTCCAGCTCAGCATGGGCTTTAAAAACCCCCCTTTGCCTCATGGTGCCACAACACTCACCGCAGCTGCACAGGTTGTATGTACTCCTTCCTGAACCTTTTTAACTCGGCACTAAGAGGCTGGTCTCCGTTCTCCATCGCGATACGATCCGCTTCGGTCGGCTCTGGCTCTGGAATTTCAAATCTAGCACAGGAGATGCGTATAAGCACCAGCTGCCCAATAGATTAACCTTGCTCACAATGCGACAAATAAACGTGGATCAAGGATAACTCAAAATTCAGGATTCCACAAGTCAGAACCTTATTTCTTGGTAAGCACATAGGAACTATTTTTAAATTTAATAATAAATCTACGCCTTTTCACAAACGCGAGATGATTACAATAATGCCATAAAAGTATCTAACAAAATATAAATTTCAAAGACAAAAAGAACTTGGGATGCTGGAAGTAACCAGAGCTACCTCAAAACATATTCTACTGGCAATCTTTGTGAGTCTGAAATTTGACAACATTCAAAAGGTGTCAATAGCAAATCAAAGCCAACTTGAAAACAAGAATTTTACAAATGTTACTTGACACAGAAGAAACACCCAGATTGCGCTTCAAAGTACAGTATTTTAAAAAGTGACATACCTTTCTATCAGCAGACTCAGCAACTCCTGTGGCTTACAGAAGGATCTGTATGTTGTTAGGAAAGTCCGAACAAAGTTGGGGTCTAGGAAAAGAGTAATTTTGTGCTTGTGTCAGCAATTATCTTTTCTTTTTCTTATATAATGAAAGAAAGTTTTCTTTATTTCATTTTAAGTCAGTTACACCCTTTAAAATTAAGGAATCTGGTTTAGCAATTTGCAGAACAGATAGTGTAAAACAAAACTGCTTCTATTCAGGACCTCTTAAAACAACAATATAACACAAAATTTAAAAACAATTTTAATTCTGCTTGAGAAATCATAAAAACTACTGTCACTGAAATTATTAAAAAACGAATTATTCTTCAACAGCTCTGAAGACAAAAATAGATTATTTTATTAATGACCTTTCTCATAAAGAATCTTGTTTTTGACAATGCCCAGGATAATGCAACTCAAATGACCCAGAAAGCAACACTGCATTGGAAAGAAATGGCACAACTCTCTTCTCAGAGAGGACTTCTCCTAAAACTGGTGCCAGTTACGACCAATCTTGCTTAAGGCAGGCCAAGGGTTGTTTCAGTTACACGACAGGTATACTCTGAAGTTGTACTTATTTCAACAAAATCACTACGCTTCATTTAAATCGACCACTTAAATATCACTTTATTTAAATATTCCAAGCAAGTTTTAAAAACAAGTATGCAGAGGGAAAACCGAACAGTTTCCCTCCATCAGCGAAGCAAAGCTGTTTGTTTTTGAGTAGGAGGAAGCCCAGTGGCAGCAGGCTGGCATTGCACGGAGTTGACTAGAAACTTAACGTTACCACTGGACCAAAGTAACGAGCAGGGTGCAAAGGCTTCTCTGCAACCAGATTTACAAAAAGCACAGATGCAAACTGGAACTGTTTCTAAGACAGGGTTGCTGAACTGGTGCATAGCGAGCTTGAAGCAGGAGTCCCTATAGCCTATATGTATAATGTAGGGGGAAAAAAAAAAAAAGAAAAAATGACAATAGTTGACATATAACTCTAGATATCAATTACACAGGTAGATTTGCTCCCAGGAACATGGGGACGTGGAGTTTTAAGGCAATTCTTGAAATCCTGCTCAGGTCTTGGTCTAATGCTTTGCACACACTGACCACATATTGTGCAGCACAGTTTTCCCTCATGCTTCTGCTCTATCCAAATCCCAGTTTCCTAGACCACACACTGGCTACTCGGCTGTAGCCTCTCATTTCCTTCCTAATTGTGTCTTTCTTATCCCAATACCTCTTCCCACCCTCTCCTTGAAACTGCACAGCACAAAATGCCTTTTTTCAAAGGCAAAACCCCAAAGGCTGTTGCAGAAAGCACATCACACTTGTGCCCTCGGTCCTCCTCATGCAAATACATGGCTTTTCCGTCGTTTCTGGAGGAAGATGAGCGTGGATCCAGGTGCCCACTGCCCCCTGCTTTGTGGGCATCTCGCCCTTTGCAATCTTTGAGGCAGCAGTTGCTTTGGAAAGCAGAAAGAGGTGGTACAGGGGGAGCTACTTAGAGGTAAATGAAAGAAAAGGGACATTTTCACAGCTTGCATTCTGCACACCGCATGCATCCCAGACAGATTTCATTGCCACGAAGGAGAAAAAAAGACCCTCTGGTAGTAATTTTTTCAGATCCCTGCAGGCTCTGTTTTCAGATGGGCAGTCCTCAATGCTACTATTTACAGGTAGGGTCAGCTTTTACACGCAAAACACATATCGAGTTTCACATGCTGCAAACCAAAAAAATCAAATCCAACCTTGTTATCTCACTAGCCAAATCTGTAACTTAAAATAGTGACACTATATGAGCAAGTGTTAAAAAAACAGACAACGCTGGTTAGCCAGGATGTCTGCTCATGTGATAATTCTCTCTTCAATACAGCCAATTTGAAAGCTAAAAAAGAACAATAACTTGTTCTACAAGGATTTATAAATAATCACCCTTGAATTCCTTAAGAAAGGAAACGGACACTATGATGACGCACAAGCGCTCTTAACATATCAAAGCTTTAAAAATAGAAGAGCACTGCCCTATAGATTAAAAAAAAAAAAGACCTAACTTTCAAACTTTGGTACCTCCTAAAGTGCCTGCTCTTGCACAAATATCAGAAAAAGGAGGAATTTATTATTATTGTTATTATTATTATTATTATTGTCATTACTATTCCATGCTACAAACAGGGTATGGATGCTCATACGGATCTCTGCACATGGCAAAAAGCTGAGCCCAGGTTTCAATCAACTACTGGCTGCACCTGGCCCGTTTGCTCCTCAGTATACAAATAAATCAGCTGCTCTCTGGCAAGGTGCAACAGAGACACAACCTACACGGCGGTGCCTCAAAGTCTCCTTAAAATATCTGACCTGCAAGAACCCAGCAAAGACGCAGGGGTACCGTAAACTGCATCTCTGGGCTACCCACCCTGTCCCAGAGAAAAGCTGCATCAGAAAAGCATGGGCTTGCTCTTGGGGCTTATTTATATAAAGAACATTTCTTTAAGATGCAAGGCAAGAAATGAAATTCTGCAGTCTGGGGCTGCTTGGCGAGATACCACCAGGATTCTCATCTTCCTGCGCCTCCAGTCTCAGAGCAAAACAGAAACCTGGACTCAGCTGCTGCATGAAGGAAAGAATAACTGAAGGGTTTCTATGGAAAGTTGTTGCCTAACGCGCTGCACCTCATAAAAAAAAAAAAAAAAAAAGGACATTTTACATAGCAAAGGGCCCTCGTTTCCTGTGCAACAGAGCCTTTGCCTTTTGGGCTGAATCACTAGATATGTATTCCTTGGTTCCCATAGAAAAGACGGCAAAGAATAGCTAGGGTGACTACATTTTTCCTCACAGAAAACTAATTATAAAGCAGAAGGTATATAAAGAAAATGGGAGTACAGGGAAATGGCTCTGAACCAGCATTTCACTGTCAGACCCACATGCTGCACTGAGATCATTAAGGTTACAAACACAGGCTAAATCAATATATCACGAGAGCATCCAATATGTACGGATATGTGTTTTCTTATTTTCTTTGGTCAAATTGTTCCAGCCTGTCTACCAGTAGCCACAACATCAGTTTTACTGTGGCATGGTTTGGCCAAGGGCATACGGGACAGCAACTTCAGGCTTCAAGCATCTTGCTTAAGGCATCACTGAGTAGGGGAGGTTGAGTACAGGGATTTAAATCACTATGGAATAAGGTGAATCTACTCAGTCAATCAAATGTATCTCCCCCTTGCTGTCCAGTGTGCTAGAAAAGCAAAAAATACATGAAAAAAAAGAAAAGACCTGTTTCAACAAGCCCCATGTTCTTCAAAACTTGGTATTTTGGCTTTACGGAATGCAAGAACCTAGTTTGGGGCTTGCTGAGCAAACGTGAAACACATGGAAGAGCAGAGGTGAAACACATGGAGCACATGGAACAACGCTGAAGATTTTGTGCCAGAGAAAAGCAATAAAATTGAGTAAATAATCTTATTTACAAGCACCTTAAAATAAAATACACAAAATACAGAACTCTCCTAGTTGTATCTAGTTTATTCCTGATTCTTTCAAGCAGATATTCCTGCTCCATGCTAGGTATCCGATGCCATCAGGACCAAGCTACAGAATGATCTGGGATAATCAAAGCAGAAAGGAGTAAAAGGAAAGGACAAAAAAAAAGCAAGAGGGGGAACCATAGCTGAATATTAGGAAAAGCACTAATAGTAAGATGCATGAAGATTTAGAATAACTACCATGAAGACAGAACCAAAAGACCTTGAGCTTTTCAACACAAGTGAAGAAAGTACCAAGAAAGCATGAAACCCCCCACCAACCACTGCGGGCAGCCTGGATGATCCATTTCCTTTCTCGTAGCATAGAGCTTCAGCCCAAACAGAAACTTGCAGTCAAATGTTCTTAAATCAAATCCTCACTGAAATCCTCATTAAAGCTAAGTGCTGAGGCTAAATGATGCCGATGATTCCCCCTGGCAAATTGGTGTTTGCTCTGCTTGCTGCACGTCACTGCTCGTCAGCATGGGCATAGGTAAGAGTCCTAAGTTCAGCTGAAAGAGCTGGGCCCTAATTCCCTCCCGAAACGCTGTCCCTTCGTATGTCCCCCAGCTTTGGGAGTCCCAAGTGAAGGCAGCTCTTGTTGCCTGGGGTGCACAGGAAATAAATACTGTCCAGAGCTCCATTCCCGCAGGCGCTTTATACCCCACTGAAACTTCAGCCAAACAGGATCCATGTCTTAATTTCTACAGCTCCGAAGCAGATTTCTTCACAAATACAAATGTTAATTCAAAAAGCATTTCAGAATATTTGCAAGGCAAAGCATATTCCCTTTCAATACTCTGTATATGTTTTGCTGTATATATTTAAACAACACAGAGGCAGCAAAGCACAGGCTCGTTAACACTATTTCAGCTATGGAGATAAGGTGCCTCACCTGCATACATGTGGTAGGTCAGCCTCTCAATGAGCTTGACCACAGTGCCAGCCTTGATGATGGGGATGCCAGACTTGGGCTGCATGTTTTCTTCAAACACGATATTCTGCTCGGAGTCCGGTTCGGCAAACCTGTAAAGCTCAGGATTTGGAAATCTCATCTGCTCTTCTTTTTCTTCCTGTAACATTGTTACGTCCAACATCCTTTCCAGCGTGCTTCTGTATTGCAAAGATATCAATGCTGCCATCCAGTTGTTTTTCTCCTCAGCCGACTTAGCAGCAAAAATAACACTGTTCTCATCTTTTAAGATGATTTCAAAAGCATGTCTGTACTCATTAGTGTCGTCCTTATCGTTGATTTGTACCTTCCGCATAAAGAACTTCTCTTTCAGACGATATTCTGCATTGCTAGCACCAGGAAGTCTTGGCTGGCCATGATTTGACTTACAGCAAATCATCAAACCATCAAATAGAAATATGTGTCTCTCATGCTTTGCTCCTACGCGCGTGAGAGTTCCTTCCATGATGAACTCGTTACAGCATTGTCCAATGTCCTTACCCTCCCAACCATCAATATTTTTCTGGATTTCGTTCATTTTCTTAATTGCTAGCTGTTTCCCCTTCATCTGCTGAGTATAGAATCGGCATGCAGATTCACTTCAGTGAAGGATAGGAGAAAGGCAGCCTATTAGTATGTTTGTTTTAAAAACCACAACTACCTCTAACAACTAAAACACAAGATGGTCTGTTTTCCGAGTGATGAGAATTCCACTGAAAATACAATTCCAGAACTCAGTATCAGGACTGTTCTACTAAAAGTACCATTACAGGACCTGACAAATATTTTTCCTCATCCCATCTAAAAAATTTTCTACTTATCTTGTATGCAAAATTGTTTTACGTAAACGCAAGCAACCAGAAGCAGGCAAGTTGTTAGAGTACCTTCTTAAATCTCCTTAAAATGTCATCACATTAATTTGAAAGAAGTAGATATAGAGAAAATAAGCTGTCAAATACATTCATGTCCATAAGCTTCTATACTTAAGATTACATACATAAGTTTATGTACTTAAACAGCTAAGACTATTTACTTTGCAGTACAGAACTTGTCTGGTGAATAGAATTTTGAAACAATTTTAAGAGCAAAATTTTAACAGAGGTAAATAGCTAGTAAAGAGAATGTTCTGTAAATTCTAATATTGAAGCAAATAGATCATATTACACAAGATTTTGCTACGGTGCTGCTACTGAATACTAGTTACCTAAGAATTTAGTAGTAATTTTAACTAGGCACTGTACAAAAAGCTATTCAGATTACTTTCAAGTAGTTTCAAATTCAAAAAGATTCCCTTCTGGTCACACAGAAATTCACATGTACAATACTTTTACATAGGCATTTATTAACTAAGCATAATTAGCCCACAAATGCTGGGATTTTCTACTTACCAGCAAATCCTCAGGAGGTCTCAACTACCAGTATGCAAAGACGCATAGAAATTCGAAGGGTTTTAAAACAATAACAAATTATCTTGGCTTTGATGTCACTTCCTCTGAAAAAGCAGGCTTGTCACAAACTATTTTGTTCATTGTTTACTAAAAGAGGAAACTGGGAGCCCTGGATTTATAGCAAAGCATTAAGAGCAGAACTCAGGAAAAACAGAAATGTGTTTACCTAAGCCTTCGTTTTGCAAGGCTTTTGGAGCATATCCTTTCCATACTGCTTTGAAGATTCAGTAGGGCAGTTATTGCTTGCTTTAAACACTCCTTATCCTCTTCATCCTCACTCTTTTCTTCTAATTGCTGCAAACATTGAAAGTCAAACACAAAGAGTGTTACAAGTGTTTTGGTGCACACGCGCACAGAAGCTCGACCTAGGGAAAAGAAATCCAACCATTTACTGTTTGTGTGTGCTCCCAGTTATCACCAAGTACAACAAAGAGCGTTGCTGACACAGACAAGGGAGACCATTCTCCACCAACACCCTAAAGTCAGTAAGATCAGAGCAGCAGCCACCAGTCCCTCATTTATGGACGAACTCAGGAGCATGTGTTTACGCCAGAACTACTCTGATTCACCTTGCATTACCCAAAAGTAGAGCAGCTAAAGGTGCTACTTTCTAGGAGGACTAAGGGACAAAGAGATGCACCTATGTACAATTCAACAGGACAGGATCAAACGTGTGGAAGAGATGGATGTTTGTGCATGAAGGGAGCTTGACTAAAAGTTAAGGAAACCTTCCTTCATCACATTTGTAAACAGAAGATTAAGAAGATTATAAAGATTCTCACCTCACTAACAGTTTAACCACACAATAATTCAGGTTGGGAGGGACCTTGGAGATCATCTTATCCGACCTCCTGCTTAAAGCAGGGCCATCTTCCATCAGGTTACTCAGGGCCTTACTAAGTTTTGACACTCTCCCAAGACGGAGAAACAACCACCTTTCTAAACAACCTGTTCATGTCCGATAACTCTCACGGTGATTTATTTTCCTAATAGCAAATTAGAATATCCCTTGCTGGCTCCTGCATTTTCACTATGCATGTCTAAGAAGTGTGTGGCTGTCTTCCCTATCCCTCCCACAATATGTACACGCTGACAAAAGTCTCACCATGGTAAATAGAAAGAAACAACCACTTCCCTCCACCTGCTACTAGGCTCTTGGTAACGCAGCACAGCGCGGGGTTCAGGGTATCAGTATCATTGCTGCTGGGATAGTCTGCAGCCTTGTGTTCAGCTTGTTGTCCACCAGGACACAATCCTTCGCTCAAGACACAGATGGAAAACAATAACCAGATGGGATTCGGAAATGGAAGCAAACGTTTCACCACAAAAGGGTTGATGGGCCACTCATCAGCAGGGAAAGTGGCACCTAACTTCAGGTGACAGGCTGGCATGAGTCAGAAAGGTAACCCCCTTCGGAAAGGATACAATCACACTGCTGCCTTCCAGGGTAAAATACAACTTCTGTCCTCCAAAATGTGCACAACACATTTGTGTGTGACATTTGAATGGGCCACAGAATAGCATTAATCCTTTCCCTGACCAGAGTTCATCATGCAGTACAATAGATGTCTACGCCAATAACTACATTCTCTGTGATTTTAGCCATAAGGATGGCACAAGGTTTATTCTTCGCAGTTTTAGTTCTTGCAGCATAATCTGTAATAATCTTGACCTAAATGGAAAGAGCCATGAGTGCCTACTAATGAGGCAAGCAGAGAAACAGAGCTGACAACACGTCCTAACAGGCTTTCATTCAAGACAGGCTGAGGTCCAAGAACAACCAGACTAATGCCATCATACTCTGCAGAGCGCACAACACGTATCATCATCTTGCCTTCACTCCAGCTGTGCAGGTCACCTATGCTTGGAGAGGCTCCAAGACAAACGAGGCAGGTCCAGGACTGCTGGAAAAAATCCTGAACCAAAACTGGAAGAAAGGTACAACTACCTCTAAGATTCAGAGGAGTTTCTGCAACTTCTCACCAAGGTGTGTCATCAGTTTGACTGGATTTCCCATCATCTCTGCCAGGCTACGCTTCAATGATAGTTAAGACTGCTTCTGGCCTAATTTCCTTAAAAAGAAGGCTTATTAGATCAAAATAGATCCTGTCATTTACCTGAAAGGCATGGTATACAGGGACAAATTCAAGAAAAAGCATGACTAACAAAAAATGATAACTCAGAGAGTCTTCTGAACTGCTATAGAGACATTCCTCTGTGAAACAGAAATAGAATTTATTTACCATAACTATTTTGAGTTTAGTTACCATAACCGACTATCAGAAACGGTCTTAGCCAAAACTGATCTTAAACTTTCACATCCTTTACCTTACACTATCCTTAGATAATTCGGAATAGGTGGTTATGAAACAGCATCACTAGAAAGACGTTCATGAGCCTCTGCAAAATCCAGGGATTTTCTGTAGCTGTGCAGCACCCCCTAACGAATGAAACAGGTAGATGCCAAACAAAAGGGTTGTTTTGTTTATTTTAAATACAGCCTACTAAGAATATCACACTGTTATTACAGAAAGGAGGTGCAGTTTCCTGCTTATCAGCAGTACTAACCATTACATTATTTTTAATAATCTTATAAAAATTGGTTTATAGTAATTTCAATATAATAATCAGTATTAGAAGTACAGCATCCCAGGCTATTCAAGGTGAACAAGTTCGTTAAACACAACGCCTTCAGAAGTCTCTCACAAAAACAAAACCACAACAAAGTGCTCCACATTCCTGTTTGCAAACACTGAAGGTATGTCAAGAAGCAGAAAACGAGGTATTTCATTCTACCTGTTGCATAACCCAAGGACCAGATAGTTACAAAACCAAGAAACAGGAAATTCCCAACAGATATAGAAGAAACCCTCCTTGCACAGTGCACAGTTAGAATACGATATTCCTTCCTTTAAGCTGTCAGGGAGAATTCTATCTAAAAAGGCAAGGAAGGAAGATGATGAGAATATGAAGATATAATAGTGCTGATAACAGTCAAAACTTGTACTTCAGGTGCTGCACCAGAACCTAGACTGATATTTCTCCCAGAAGACTATCCTAAGAACAAGCACAGAAATTTATGGCCTGCGGGTTCCTGGATTCAGCTGACGGGAAGGATCACAGAGCAGATCCTGCAAGCAAAAGACACAGCAGTAAGCACAGAAATTTATGGCCTGCAGGTTCCTGGATTCAGCTGACAGGAGGGATCACAGATCCTGCAAGCAAAAGACACAGCAGCAGCTGGGAGGGAGGGAAACCACAAGGGAACGTTGGGAACTGCAGGCCCCGTATCTGTGTTGTGAGCGGTCTCTTGATTGAGGGTGATAACTTGAAACGCCAAGGCAAGATGCTTGGTGCCTAGGAGGTCCCAGCTGAGAAGTAGACGCTGTCCTGTGTACTGTGACAGCACTGCCTTAGAGTGCCTCACCTCAAAAGCCTCTGGGCAACTTCTCTGGACATCCAAAATCCCACAGGGAGGTAGCAAGACTCGCGGGGGAGCTGGCAAAGGAAGCACTATCTGGAGCACAACCTAACCATCTTCTCTGTGAGGAAATGCTGAACAGGAATGTTCATGAGAATCTGAAAAGCGCTGCTCCGCATTCTATTGTGCCGCCTCTTCCTTTTCTTCAACGGATTTCCAAAAGCCAAGCACCTAACTAGAATGTAAACCTCAAAGGCTATTTCATGATCAAGGCAAATAAAAACAAGCAGGGTTTCTCTTTTGACAAATGCAGACTGATAGATGTGCTGGCACTTGGCCATAAAGCAATACTGGTAGCCACGTTTCTTAACAACAGCCCAAGAGCTTTCTGCCTTTTTGTGATTTGTCAAAAGGATTAAAAACTCATCCCAAGGTAGCAGTAGGCTAGAAAAAAGCACTCTAACTCAGAATCCTGTTTTGGGGGTTTTTTTTTGGAAAGCATCAAAATAAAAAATCATCTGGAACAACAACAGGGGACAACTGCAGAAATGAATGCAAACAGTCCAAGGGGCACTTCACATTTGAAAATTGAAAAATCCACTGTATTCCTAGGGATACACTCACAGCTTTAATGTATTCAAAAAACAAAACCACCTTTTGCTTCTGCACAAACTCAAACATAGGGAAGCAAAAACACATACACCTGTATGTAAAAGTTTATTTAGATTTACATTACACGTCTTATTTTTGTAAGAGCGGAAAAAAACTTAGTACAGTGCCAAGGTATGGTAAAGTTTTCCCCTCTGATCAAAACTTCTTATGAACTATGCCTTCTTTATTTCATTATAAAAGTTACATTAAAATATATTTTTCATAAACACGCCAAACAGCAATCTCTAGGTATTGGAGACTATGAGACAGGAGCTAGAAAGCCCTCACATATCAAATCTCAGCTCACATAATGTTAGCTAGGGACAGTGTATAGTGTGCAAGTGTTAAATATACAAAAATATGCAGCATTTCCTATTCACCAGTTTCCAGCACAAGCTTCTCGATTCTTCCTCAGTTTGCCAATGATTTCAAAATGTATCTGAAATATGTAGAAAGTTTGAGTATGGCAAACTGAAATCAAGTCCAAAGAAGTTAACCAATCCGAATTATAGAAAAGTGTGTATTTAAAGAATTGCTACTTTGATTTCTCTTCCTTTGATTTCTTAAAATTTAATTGATTTGCTTCAGGAATAACTATACTACTCCAAAATAAGTGTCTTCTTTCAAATTAGAAGTGAACACAACAAAAAGCCAGAAAAAGGTATTTAGAAACAAACCCCAAAGAAATTCATCAATTGACATTTCACCAGTTCAACAGCTTGACATTTTGCACAAGAGGTTTTGAGACGGGGAGAATTTGAATTTCCCCCTCGTATTCCCATGAGAGGGCAAGGCCTGTCAAGAGACCCTGTTTCACCTTAGGGAACATGTTAGTTGTTACTGCAGACTGCTGTATGTTTTGCCTGAGGTCTGCTCAGTGGAAAAGTTTTCAGTTTCTGAATTTCTTTCCTAAAGAGCCACAGGAGGGGGTTTATGTAAGCAACCAGTTCTGCTTTTTGAGTTTACACAACTAACACTTACTCTAGCAAGGCCCAGACACAAAAACAAAGCTTTGTTTTCAAGTGAGTTGATGTTTTCATATGGCCATTTCCTAAATATTCAGGGGGTTTTGGTAGGCTAGTAGCTGTGAGCAGTATGTCTATGTGTATTTTATATGTCAAGATTCCTGTCCTCGGGCCACTTACTTTACGGGAGGCCTTCTCTTCTCTAAGTGTGAAAAAAAGTAAATAATTTGCTCTGCATTCTTCAAAAATACGTATTT